GAGGGCGAGAGGCGCCGGCGAAAGCACGTGGCCCCGGAGGGGAGGCGGCGACCTGGGGCCAGCACAGGCCGGCTCTGCCCCCGCGTGAAACTGGTCTCGGAGGGAAAACGCCGGCGCCAGGAAGACAAACAGGAACAAACCGAGGGCGGCCAGAGCCGGGCAGGACGCCGCGGGCCAGCGGCAGCTGCGAAGGGTCCCCGGCAACATTGGGGCCCCCGTGAACCTGACCTGGGGGCGCAGGGACGTTGGTGCAGCGCCGAGGGCCTCACACTAGCGAGTGCTCGTCAGGAACGCCCGGAGCTGGGCGGCCCGAATTCAGCCGGAGAACCCGGCGGCCCTGCTGGCAGCACGAGCGCATTGTAACAACGTGGCATTGTAACAACGTGGCATTGTAACAACGTTGCATTGTAACAATATTGCATTGTCACAACACTGCACAGTAACAGGCTCTCAGGGGCACCCTGGGGAGGTTAAGACCCAGTCTCACTGGAGCGGTCGGCACCGCCAGCGTCATGCACGAGGTCACAGGCCCTGGTCAGTGTCCTCGGGCAGGTGGGTTAGGGACTTGGATGGCCTAAGACCCAGTAAGGCCCCGGCCTGTGTGGCTGGTGGGTTGGGCATCACTCTGTCCACCAAAACTGTCCCCGGTTTGATTCCTGGTCAGGGCACAGGCCCTGGTTTCGGGCTCCATCCCCAACAAGGGGCGCGCAGGAGGCAGCCGGTTGAGCTTAGGCACTCACATAGATAGATGTTTCTCTCTTCTCTCCCTTCCTCTCTTTAAAAATCAATACACTCTGGTTAAAAAAAACAAAACAAAACTCAGTAAGAAAAAAAAAAACAGTGGGGACTATGGCGATATTTTTGAAAAGGTCTCTCTTGAAAACAGTGAAAATATAAAAGTCAGTGTTCAGAGAATTAACTTCAGGTTTCCACGTGTCACTCACGCTTTGTTCCTATACAATTAGGTTCTTGAAACTATTGACTTGAAATCTCAGCTCTTGAAGGAGAAAAACCAGTTGGTTCCTTCAAGCTGCCAAATTAATTTGTCGAATCTGGCACGTTGTTAGTTATTCCGGGCAAACAAAGATTATGTACTTGTCCATTTAATAGGACTTCTCGGAGGTGACGTCCATGTCATCAACAGCAGTCAGCTAAGTGATCCTTTTGCTTGGAGAGAGGCCCTTGGAGTTTAATACTCTACAGAGCACTCGCCTGACTGGTTTGAAATGAACTTTTCATTTCATCCATCGGCCAGGAGGGATTTCTATGAGGCTTTTCCTACTAAATGCACTTGCTTAGTCTTTGAGTCCGGGGTGGTTTCACAGGAGTGGGCCATCTGCTCTCTCTACACCTTCAGAACCAGGGGAACTGCCCTGGAGGATTGCTGCCCCGTGGAGCTCGCCGGTTCTGCTCAGAGCGCCGTCCTCGCTTGGTGGGCTGGGCATCCAGGAATTNGCATTGTAACAACACTGCACAGTAACAGGCTCTCAGGGGCACCCTGGGGAGGTTAAGACCCAGTCTCACTGGAGCGGTCGGCACCGCCAGCGTCATGCACGAGGTCACAGGCCCTGGTCAGTGTCCTCGGGCAGGTGGGTTAGGGACTTGGATGGCCTAAGACCCAGTAAGGCCCCGGCCTGTGTGGCTGGTGGGTTGGGCATCACTCTGTCCACCAAAACTGTCCCCGGTTTGATTCCTGGTCAGGGCACAGGCCCTGGTTTCGGGCTCCATCCCCAACAAGGGGCGCGCAGGAGGCAGCCGGTTGAGCTTAGGCACTCACATAGATAGATGTTTCTCTCTTCTCTCCCTTCCTCTCTTTAAAAATCAATACACTCTGGTTAAAAAAAACAAAACAAAACTCAGTAAGAAAAAAAAAAACAGTGGGGACTATGGCGATATTTTTGAAAAGGTCTCTCTTGAAAACAGTGAAAATATAAAAGTCAGTGTTCAGAGAATTAACTTCAGGTTTCCACGTGTCACTCACGCTTTGTTCCTATACAATTAGGTTCTTGAAACTATTGACTTGAAATCTCAGCTCTTGAAGGAGAAAAACCAGTTGGTTCCTTCAAGCTGCCAAATTAATTTGTCGAATCTGGCACGTTGTTAGTTATTCCGGGCAAACAAAGATTATGTACTTGTCCATTTAATAGGACTTCTCGGAGGTGACGTCCATGTCATCAACAGCAGTCAGCTAAGTGATCCTTTTGCTTGGAGAGAGGCCCTTGGAGTTTAATACTCTACAGAGCACTCGCCTGACTGGTTTGAAATGAACTTTTCATTTCATCCATCGGCCAGGAGGGATTTCTATGAGGCTTTTCCTACTAAATGCACTTGCTTAGTCTTTGAGTCCGGGGTGGTTTCACAGGAGTGGGCCATCTGCTCTCTCTACACCTTCAGAACCAGGGGAACTGCCCTGGAGGATTGCTGCCCCGTGGAGCTCGCCGGTTCTGCTCAGAGCGCCGTCCTCGCTTGGTGGGCTGGGCATCCAGGAATTGCTTTTTATCTCAGAGTCAAGGTAAATTGTAAATGGGTTTTGGGCATTCCCCTTTACCTGGTACGGTGACCTGACCAAGTCCCCGCAGCTGCCTTTGTGGGCGACTAGGAGAAAGGCACGTAGCATGTACTTGTGCTGTTAGAGCTGGTCAGGGGCCTCTAACGTCTGGGAACAGGCGACGGCAGGTTGCGATTCTAGTGGCAGGGTCTCTGTGCACTGGTGCTGGAGTGCATTGCATTATACATTTCATAGGCAGTTGGATTCTGCTGTTTACCAAGTATTTCCCGCTCTCTGCCTGCGGAGCACAGGGTAGGTTGCCCTTGGTTGAGTGGGACCACGCGACCGGCTGTAAGATTGTGTGCGTCATTCAGGGCCATAGCACTGAATTGCCAACTTGTGACCCTCTGCAACTCTCTCTGCTTTCGAGCCTGGTGCCTGCTCTATCGGCCTGTATCCTAGAGGGAGGAGATGCGGAGTGGAGGCCCCAGCACCCCGCAGTAGGCAGACAGCATAGACGGAATGAACTTTGTTGCTGTATGTCATTAAGATTTTCACAAAACCCAGCATATGTTGACGAATACAGAAACTGATGGCCAGAGATGGGGTGTGTTTTAACAAAAACCTGACTTTTGTGGCATTAGTTTAGGGTAAAGCAAGCTGGAAAAATGATCATCTCTGTTCTACCGGAATATTTGATAAAACTGTCACCTGCAATAACTTGAAAGTTAAATAATGAACATTATGGGAAACGCACAGAAATGAAGACCCTCTGTGGGGAGCCCCACAGTCGTTTCTGAGGAAGCAGCGCGGGATTCCAGCAGGTCTAATGAGCCTCAGTTTTGCTTAATAGAAAGTTTCTCCAGGTCGTAGAGTTAGTGCTTTGAAGTTACTTTTTTTTAAAGAAAAGCGTGTTTTCTAAAGACACAGAAACAAGGAAGGACTAAGTCTGTTTAACAATCATACTCTCAGTATTTATTCCAAACCACCTCACTTATTTGTTTGCTGAAATATACTTTTTCCCCCTTCATCCAATGACGAGAAAAACCAAAATAGAATTAAACCAAAAAAACCCACAAAAGTCTGCACAGAATTCTATCTTGCCTTATTATGGATGTCAATAATAGCTACTTTGCTTCTTTAAAATTTAATGTGAGTATAACATATGAATTTTTAAAGTGTAAACATAGAGTGATGAATTACACAATTTGGTCTCATTTTAACCAAGGAATAAAATTTGCCGCCACAAGCGACTAGATTATCGAACATCTCTGCTCACAGAGTCTAGGAGGCAATGAGTCGACATTGCCTGGAAAGTTACAGGATATTCTTTGTCACTAGATGCTGGCCTGGGTTCCTGATGACCAAGACCAGTCTATCAGCCCTGAATCAGGTTTTGAAAAATACTAGAGGAGGGTAGAGTTGCCAACAGATCTATTTATACATCAAAAGTTTATTTTGTTCCGAATGTCAACAAGGCTAATTAAATAAATTACCAAACAGCCTAAAATTCTTCCTTCTCTCTGTGCCCCCACATCTTCCAAAAAGGTAAGGGCCCCAAATACGAGCCTTAACTACGTGGTCGTGGTCAGCAGCAGCAAATCAGTTCAGTGGTAAATAATGGAAAGGCAGAAAAAAATAGACCTTTAGAAAAGATGTTTATTTTCTTGGCACAGACACAAAAACGGCACTTGCCTACCAGGTGGAACAGGTGAAGACGTGTCAGAAATGGGTTACAGTTCACGGGTTACGCGGCCCAGAGGGAGGACAGGTCTCAGGGTTCCTCAGGGACCTGCGTCTTGGTAAGTCATCACAGCGTCCTGGTTACACGCGCACACACTTCTCATGTTAAAGAGCGAGACCGACCGGCTGGAACCTGGGCACCTCGCCCAGCATCGGTCAGGAGCGAAGCGTCTGTGCCAGTGTCTCTCAGCCGAGTGACACCCGTCCGTCCAAAGTCTGACACTGTTACTTCATTGCCTTGGATGAGGTGATGGGGCCGTGCCTTCTGAAACGTTACGTGGACCGTGCAGATTACGAGTTTCTTCCATTAATATTCCGTACTAGAGATACACCCGCTTAATTTTCCGGCGCAAGAACATGATGTCTTAAATTTTACCAAGGTGAGTATTTGCCCTACTAGAGAACCCAACATGGCCATGTTTTAATCATGGCCAACTCATTATTTATTACTAACTACGTAACTAACCTATTATTTGTCACATTTACCTGCCAGCCGGTACTTATTGCTTTTGGCAAATGCGCTGGTTTCGCTACTTTTCTCCCACCTGCGCTGTGGAAGCTAAAGGAGGGGAAGAGCTGCCCGAGCCCTGAGGCCTGCCCCTCTCCCCCCTCGGGAGGGTCGTTCCTCCCACCGCAGGTTAGAGAAAGGTGCGCTCTGAGCGCCAAGGAGGAAGGAAACCTTGGGAACCAAGGCGCTTGCAGACGACAGCCAGCCGATCATCACAGCCGGCCTCAGGTGCGCAGGGACCACCCGGCCCCAGGTGCGCAGGGACCACCCGGCCCCAGGTGCGCAGGGACCACCCGGCCCCAGGTGCGCAGGGACCACCCGGCTTCGGGCTGGGGAGCCGGGGAGCCCTGCCGCACGTGGGGGGCTGACATCGGAAGCATTCACATGTTTTTACTGCCCAGAACTTTTAATTTACATGTTTTTCTTATTTTTGCCTCTTGGTCATACCTGAGGGGGTCGGCTGTGTGACCTCTAACTGAGGAAGTGTTACTATCCCAACTCTATGTACCGCTGAATAATATTATACAGTAATGAGAGGACTTTTGCAACTATTTGCTTGCAACTATAAGTATTACAATCTATGTTAACTGTTTTCTTCAGACAAAAACAGTAAAGTGGTAAAAAAAAAGAAAAAAAAAAAGAAATTAAAATCCACCTAGAAAACAAGTACTATTCAAAAACATCAGATCACATAAATGTTTAAAAAACCTGTTTTCTTTCATGACTTTTTCAGACTTAAGGTATCTTAAAGTAATATGAAAAACTCTTCAAGTGATTTTACTGAATTAAAGATAACTACTGAATTTATATCTCTATTTTTGTTGTATTAAGATTATTCTCAGTGCCACACCTGTCAATGGTAGGTTATGGTTCATAGGAAACCAGAATCTACTATGACCTATCAACACTCACACACAAACTAAAAAGTTATTAAGTTTTAGAAAATTAATATAGTGTTTCTTCTTTAAAGTTCTCATAAATATGCCCAACATTTTGCATTTTAAAAATGTAAACCATCTCATAGTAGGAAACTGAAACTCAAGACTAACTTTATAAAACTGTTTTTAGGAAATAAATTCCTTAATGCTTTGTGTTTTTTAATACACCCTATGCGTCATTAGCACAAGTACATTATCTTCACTATACCGTTGGTATTTATTATAATAAAACACATTAATGTATCAGTGAAAAAATAAAAGCCCATGTGCCCCTCGGTGCCCCGTAGGCAGGTGCGCTGCAGGCAGACACTTCCGCAGCTCAGCACTCACTGCACAGTGGCTGGGACGCGGGCGGAAGGTGCGGGGAACAGGCCAGCCGGAGGTGAGGCCTGTTCGGCACCTCCTGTCACTGCAGAAAAGACATCCCACGATTTAAAAATACTTCTCCATTTTTTCATTACCACATTCTCATATTTCATTTTCACTTATGTACAAGTAGAATTTTACATGATTTCTCTTTATTCAAACTCGGGATTTCAAGCTCATTCTTTGTAGGCATCTGAAGACCACTTACTGAAGTAGAAAGAAAAACATTCCACTGGCAATGATGATTTTCTCTCTGACTCAAAAGCTACCTCTGTACATTAAAATAAAAAGAAAGAAAAACCGACGCTTTTACAGCCCTTTCCTAATTGAGCATCAATATTATATGAGCGAGACTTTCAACGTGACCCCCGCGGGTGCGTCTGAAGCAGTGACCTTGTGTCCCTCCATCCCACAGCTCCCGGGTGACACGCCTAACAAGCCCCGCCCAGTCGGCTACAGGTCATAGAGCGTCTCGAGCACGGTCGCGATGGACCAGGCCTGGGTCTCGCAGCTGAAGGGGCAGTGCTGGCCGTTCTCGTTGGTCAGCTCCGGGAGTCCTTTCCACGGGGATCTTAAAGAGAGATGACATTTTATGAGACGTAATCGAACACATGTTCTTGCTGGATTAACAACACAGGCAAGAGACCGGGTGACCGTGCCCTTTTATAGAAAACAATCGTCCGCAGTCGTTTGCTAGGAAACAGGACGTCCTACAGACGTGCGTGTAAAGAGTCCGGGCTGACGCTATTCCTGATATTCAGTCTTTGGGCTTTAAGACTTTCAAATGCCCCGGAATCCCTGTAGGTATTAAACACCTAGGAGAAGCCACCGTCCCAAGCGCTATATAGACGGGAGGCGAGTATCTCGGGCCCAACGTTACCCCTTTCGGAGCAAGTTTATGACACTCAAGTTATAGTCACTTATGCATGTGAAGTTTGATCTTGACAAAATCGTAAAACTAACATGAAACAATGAAGAGACACACAGTTATGATTAGGGGAAGAGTGGCAATTAAAGCAACAGGGATTTCTATTCTACTGTCTCGTTCTGCTGAAGGATACAGTTGGTACTTACTGTGCGTTTATTACGGTCTTACGCGAACTGCGTTATACACATTATCTCATTTCAATGCTCACAGACACCCTACGAGGCAGGCAGCACTGGCATTCCTGCTTACAGAGGTTTATAGGAGGTAATAATTTGTTGTGATCTTGCTATCAGAATACAGCGTTGCTCCGAGGAAATGTCGCCCACCTAGCTGGCCCTACGCTAGTCACGGGAGCTGCGCGCCTGGAATGACTCACCGCTCAAGATGAACGTAATGCCGAGAAAGGACATTTTTAACCAGACAGATGGTCTTCGCGTGGGCCTCTGGCCCCATCAACTTGGAAAAGTGTAATTTTGCACGAAGGAAATACCCAACGGGCCACAGCCACTCCTAGAAAAGGTGATTTAATCATAAAGGGAAGAGAGAGTTGTGAGTGTCCAACGTTATTTGAAGAAAACCTGAAAACGCAGAAAAGAGGTGAAATTCTTACAGGCCCTTGGTGGTAATTGAAGCCCTTGGCGAGGTTGTAGTTGTCGTTGTCCAAGGCGTTGTCGTAGACTCCGCAGTAAACCATGTCGCTGGAAAACAAACGAGCCTTAGGTCAAAAGGAGGCCAGCCTCACACAGGCGGCACTGGGAAATACTTTCAGTAGCAAAGGTCGGACAAATGATCGTAGTATTTTTTCTCTCAATCTACAGAAGAGCATCATCCATTGAACCTTAAACCAGTAAATCCTGAGTCCAGAGCACGTGAATAATCTGTTAGGGGAAGACGGACAAATACCGGCCAACACACGAAACATAGAGCACTCGGGTCTCTTGCCTTCAAGGAGTCGCCCTGACGCTAGTACTGGTTACAGCAAATGAATCGCGTCTAATATTTAAAAGACCAAGAGGCAGCTGCGGACACGCGTTACCCTGAGATAGTAAAGGGGCCGCGAGGAGCAGCAGCTCAGGGCGGAAAGGCTGACGCTGAGGAGATCACGCGTCTCTGCTGCCAGTGTCCACAAAACTCACTCTCGCAATCAGAGAAAAGGGGCGTCAGCAAATACTCGTGACATGTTTTAGTTTTATAAACTTAAAAACTCTTTTACTGGTGTCTGAACTTAGGACAAGCAAAGGCACTTTCAACACTGATGTTTATCGAAGACACAGGCGGTATTTTTAAAAGCTCAGTTTGGATGCGATGTTGGAGGTTTTATTTGCCAGCAAAACAACTGCGGTGAACGTAACACGGCGCCGACGACTCCTGAGAACTTACGCTCCAGCTTCGTCTGGGTCCAAGTGTTCGTGCCAAGATGAAATATAATTATACACTAAACAGAATACGGACTACAGTCTAAATACTCATATTGTAACTTACTCCGGATCCAAAGTTTTCATGCCAAGGGGACCAAGCAATTTTTTTTCCGCCATCTCCAAAGCTTTCCAAGCCTTTTCTGCAGTGAAGAGCTCAGGGGCCTGCGGGGTGTCAAAAACAAATGTGCAAAATCTTTAAGATCGCTGAAGAATTAGCTTCCACTCGTGGTGGAACACAGACCAGTTATGAACTGGGAAAAGCAGGAAAGCTATTTTATTTTTTTATAATTATTATTGTGTTTTAAATACGTTTTTATTGATTTCAGAGAGAGGAAGGGAGAGGGCGAGAGAGAAACGTCAGTGATGAGAGTCATCCATCGGCTGCCCCGCGCCCCCCGCTGGGGATCGAGCCCAAAGCCCGGCCTGGGCCCTGACGGGAACTGAACCCTGACCTCCGGGTTCGTAGGTCAGCGGCCAACCGCTGAGCCACGCCGGCTGGGCTCTGATTCGCCCTTAGGCTTACAGTCGCTTCCTTCCGGGGCCGGGGAAACCACAGAAGGACGTGCCCTCCAGCAGCCCGCGACGCGGAGGAGAGAGCACTGGGGGCGAGGCGCCTGTGCAAGTTTTAAGGGTGAAGCGACGTCAGACGCACAGACCGAAGCGGCCCTTGTCTGCCTCTGTGCCTTCCACCCGATTGCAGCGAGAACACGGTGTTCTGCGCTCTCTCTCACAAACTGCGAACAGCTAAGTGGGCACAGAAGCGGGCACGCCTTCTCCATTTTACTGCCCGGGCATTTATTTTTAGCCTAAGGAGGGTCTAAAATTATTGGCTGGATAGAACTAATAACGAAATTAAAA